CAGGACAGAATGAGAACACAGAATCACTTCTGTATTTTCCAGCCAAAGGTGCCAAGATTAATCTACTTCATGAGAAAACATAACACAAATCCAAATTGAGGAACAGTATACAAAATAACTGGCTTGTTATCTTCAAAAATTTCAAAGTCATGAGAAGTCAAGGAAACAGTAAGGAATCAAAATATTCCAGGTAGAAGGCAACTAGGGAGACATGAAAACTAAATACTTTAGCATGATTCTGAACTAAACCTTTGGCTATAGAAGACAGTGTAGGGATAACTGGCATAACCTGAATAGCATCTGAGGATAAGATGGTAATGATGTCATAATGTTAATTTCCTGGTTTTGATGGTTGTATTGAATTAAAGGAAGCACACTTATTTGCAGGAAACACTAAAAAATTCAGGAGTGGACTGAGTGTGGATGCGCAGATGCACGGTGGAGCTCGAGCTGCTATAGCTGCTGCCACTACCGGAATAATCTTGATCCCCAGGCTCTGGAAACGCCGGGCCTCACCAAGGCTGACCAGCTGAGTGAGGAGCAGATCACAGAATTGAAAGAGGCCTTCTCCCTCTTCAACAAGGATGGAGATGGCACTATCACCACCAAGGAGTTGGAAACAGTGATGAGATCCCTGGGACAGAACCCCATTGAAGCAGAGGTCTAAGACATGATCAATGAGGTGGATGCAGATGGGAATGGGACCATTGACTTCCTGGAGTTCCTGATCATGATGGCCAGAAAGATGAAGGACACAGCAGTGAGGAGGAGATCCAAGAGACATTCCATGTCTTTTGACAAGGAGGGAACAGCTTCATCGGCAATGCAGAGCTGCATCATATAATGAAGAACCTGGGAGAGAAGCTAGCCATTTAGGAGTAGATGAGACGATCAGCAAGGCTGGCATCAATGGAGATGGCCAGGTCAATTATGAAGAGTTTGTATTGATGATGACTGCAAAATGAAGGCCCTGGGCAGCTGGTGATTCCTGTTCTCTCGATCCCTCTCTTCTTAAGCGTAGTTTCTAAGTCTCCTACGTACCTCAGTTCAAGCAAACACCAATTGGTTGACTGAGAATCTCATAAAGAACAAAAAATTTGTCCCAAGGGAAAAAAAAGAATTTAGGGGTAATGGGACAGGACATCTTACTGAAACTCTCTCAAATGGTTCCAGAAAAATGGTTATTTGTACCATTCTTGCAACTTTTCTATAAATGTGATATTTTTTCAACTATGAAATTGTGTATGTAAACATAAAATGACCCAGTGTAATTAAAACAATTAAAAAAAAACAGAACTCAGATTTTATGTATACATAGTGAACTCTGGCTTCATCAACTTACTAATATTGGTTATCTTCATGATGACTGCCTAATTCTATAGTCACAGATGTTTTGGACTAACCTACAGAGACCAGTGAACTAAACTTTAGCACATTCATTTTACATATGACAGATATGCCATATGTTGAAGGTGAAACTATAGCATGTAATTCCTTGGTCACTTTTTACCCTGCCTCCCTTTGGAGTCTAAATTAATAATTATGTCATCACAGTAAATATGACAGAAAGATATGAAAATCATTGGTTTAGCTTAGTTTATACTAAATTCCTAGCCAAAAAAATCCACTTGATCCATCAAGTTTACTATCTTCAATAAACTGAACTGTCAGTCAGATACTAATTTTGTTTCAATCTGGGGTTGAATCTAGTCACACAACACATAACTGATTCTCTATGTATGTTTATGTCATGAGACTGCTATGGAATCAAGTGAATTAGAACTTACAAAGTTTAAGTGTTATCTGGAGCTCAGAAATGATCTTTCATCTACCAATTGTTCTTCTAGCTCAATTCATATAGTTTTGAGTATTTCAGTGACAGCAAAAATAAAGTGAAAGTAAGCCTATGAAGTTTAATTTTAATGCTTAGATTTCTGATTGGGAGGGATAAACTAGAACTAAAAAAGAGTAGGGATTAAAAATTCTAACCAGGTTTTACCAAAAACTTGTTATGACCGGAAAGCACTATATGTGTATCAAATGAGGGAAAGAAATATCACTATGGAATCTAGGAATTCAGTAATTGCTGATATTAGTAAAAAGCTAATAATACAGCTTAGTAATGGCTACATATCTATTTCTTTCCACAATTACTTAAATATTCTAAGAAATGTAAAGTACCTGAAACCTATTTTGCCTTCTTTCCACCACACTCTCAAAAACCAGGAAGTCATAAATTGTCTACCCTTAATATCATCTATTTAGTCTTCTGATTACAAGCCTTTATTCTAGTATTCAGAAGTGAAAGTGAATGATGTTAAACTTAGCCAACCAAGCCTTCATCAAACTAACTGGCAGTCCAGAACTGAATTCAATAAATGTTTTATGTGCCTAGTACATACTGGACAACAGAGGTAAGTAAGACTCATTCCCTGCCTTTAGTGAATTTAGCCTACTGGAAGAGGATTAAGAACATTAAAAAGAAAAATAGACCAGGCACAATGGCTCACACCTGTAATTCCAGCACTTTGGAAGACCAAGGTGGGAGGATCAAGGATCACTTGATGCTAGGAGATGGAGACCAACCTTGGGAACATAGCAACCAAAAAACCCTGCGTCTATAAAAAAACAAAAACAAAAACAAAAAAAACTTCAAAAATTAGCTGGGCATGGTGGCACACACCTCGAGTCCTGGCTATTCAGGATGCTGAGGCAGGAGTATTACTTGAGCCCAGGAGTTGAGGAAACAGTAAGCTATGATCGCACCACTGCACTTTAGCCTGGGCAACACAGTGAGATTCTGTCTCAAAAAATAAAATTAAAAAACATCTCCTACACTAACATCACCAAGAGATCAGAACTCTGAAACTATGGAAAATAGCTTTACAAATTTTTTCATGTATATGTGTGTCCATATATCTAGATGTTTTTAAAAATAGAAAAATTAAATTTTACTGCTTTGTAATCCTTTTGACTATTTTTGCCACTCTATATTAATCAGCACATTTAAAAAATCACCATTTTTGGTTGGTCCGAGTGCAGTAGCATTTACAACTAATTGATCATAACCGGTACAGATTCCTTTATTCCTTTTCCACTCCCACTGCTTCTCTTGACCAGCCTTAAAAAAAATAAATAATAAATAAAAATCACCATTTTTAATGAGAGGCATAGTACGAATAGTATTAATTGTAAGGATGTGCAAAATTTACCTAATTAATACTCCCTTGCTAAATGCTCATGCTTAATTTTTTTTATTTCAGCATATTATAGGGGTACAAATTTTAAGGTTGCGTATAATGCCCTTATCCCCCCACACAAGTCTGAGCTTCAAGTGTGACCATCCCCCAGCTTATGCTTAATTTTTTAATGGTAGGGGGAGATACCAGGAAAAAATGACAGCTAAAATTATTAACAGCTATAAACTTAGCCAAGATGCTCTTTAACACATTAACTGCCATGAGAGTTGTATTTAACTCACTCTAGTTTAGACCCCGGGGCCATGTGAAACATACATAAAAATCTTACTTGCTGATGTTCTTATTGTTACAATTAATATTGACAACTTTAAAAACATAGATTAAATTAATAGAAATCAATAAATTTCATTTTTCTATTTATGTTTACCTTTAAATTATACTCAAAGTTCTTATTCTATTTCCATAATAAAACAGTGTGGCCCCAAGGAAATGTTTCTGATGTTTTTGTGTGGCAGTCAATGTGATAAAGCCAGCTAAGGAATTCATCTACATACTCACTCTAGAAGACTTTCAGGAAAGAAGGCTTAATGTCTTAACATCCTCATCATCTGTGGTCTCTCCCTCTTCCTGTAGCTGTCCAGGCCTTAATATTACTTTTATCCCTTGGCTGGGTGTGGTAGCTCACACCTGTAATCCTAGTACTCTGGGAGGCCAAGGCCGGAGGATCACTCAAGGTCAGGAGATCAAAACCGGTCTGAGCAAGAGCGAGAGCCCATCTCTACTCAAGTAGAAAGAAATTAGCTGGACAACTAAAAATACAAATATACAAAATATACAAAAAATTAGCCGAGCATGGTGTTGCATGCCTGTAGTCCTGGCTACTCTAGAGGCTGAGGCAGAAGGATTGCTTAAGGGCAGGAGTTTGAGGTTGCCGTGAGCTAGGCTGACGCCATGGCACTCTAACCCAGGCAACAAAGCAAGACTCTGTCTCAAAAACATATATATATATTACTTTTATCCCCAAAGTATTTATAATAACTTTCCCTGACTCCAGTCTGCCCATTCCAAATAATCCTACATAATATTTCTACATAAAACTTCCTGAAGCAAAATATAACCTCCCTGGCTTGAAAATACCCAATCCAATTATTAGAGAATACTGCCAATTTATTAATATTTATTATTAATAAAATTAATATTTTTGGCATTCAGTTTGGATCATATGGCCACTAATCCATCTCCCAATCTTGTCATCCACTACATTCTTTCAATCACCCTCCTGCCAAATCCTAACATAGTACTCAGTTCTTTCAATAGCCTCCAACTTTCTACTCTATTATGTATGCTGCTCTCTCATCTGAAATGCATGTCAGAGAAGTACTACTTATCGGCACAGAATTAATTATCTAACAGGGACCTTAGAGATACCCTCCTAACCTTAATTTGCAAATTAAAGACTTCTTTCACTTACCTAAGGGCCCACAAAACTCTCACACTAGCAGCCTTTCCATTACATAGTGGTTCTCAAACTGTAGTGTGACCAACAAGCCGGCCAGTGATATTAAAAAACACACATTCCCAAGCCCCATTCTTAGAGATTTTCTTCTAGTAATTCAGGTCAAGACCAGAACTCACATTTTTTTAAAACAAGCACTTCAGGTGATCCTAAAGCAAGGACTCAAAGCTTCAGATCACAGGAAATAACACATCAAGAAGATGAAGTCTTTTAGCACTTAGCACATCATCTGAAATTTCCCGTTTCTTCCCCCCACATTGAAACTTCCAAAAACAGTTACTCACTGCTACTTGTGCTGAATCCATAAATCTCAGACCAAAATAGTCGCTTTCAATAAGATCCAGGTGGTACATAATCTGATCAAACAACTCTTGTCCTTTGGCTTTTTTCTGAAATGGCAAGAAAATAAATTAATCAATAAGTGGCTTATAAAATCAACAAACCTAAAGAGAAGATGGTTTTAGTTATACAAGATCTCTTAAAGAATTACCATGTAGTAGACGATGGGTAAGATATTGTAATCTTCCAATAAATCATTTAAGGCCACAAGAGAATTTGTGATCTATACGTACTTTCCTAGAGAGTGTTAATTCCTATCAACAAATATTACCTATTTTTAAGTAGAAACATTTGTATCTATTGTTGTGTTTTTGTGTGTGGAGAAATTCTTGTTTTGTCTTCTCAATTCTTAGAGTACCTACTTTAAAAGAGCCATAATATAATTGGAAAGAGAAAAGACAAGAAAACTTAGAGCACATAAGTATAAATGATGTGAAACCAACTATATTTACAAAAACATTTTGGAGAAGAGATCATCTCAGAGACTAATCAGTGATGGCTTGATGGAGAAAAATCAAACTGAAAGAGAATGTAAGGCAGGAAATAACAAAACAAAAACAGGAGATGGGAGGAAGTATAAAACAATGAGAAAACTACTGTGACCACATAGTAGACAACAAATAGAGTAAAAGCAAGGCAACTTGTATGGAAAAAGCAGTTCTCAAAGTGCCTGAGACCTTTTCAAAAGATCCTAGGATTCTTCTCACTTACCTCAATCCAAACAACATATTGCAACAGAGTGAATGCAGAAGCAGATAAGAGAGTCCAAGTACCTTCTATTAAATCAGACATTAAAGAGATTTGCAAAAGTGCATAAAATTATGTTACTTTTAAAAACATGTCATCTATGTTAACATACAAGGGGTATGTCACTGCTTTATAAAATTAATCAATATTTTAAGAAATCTTTCAGTTTTAATTTCTAACATGCTAACTATCACAGATATAACGCACATAAGCAAAAGCATTATTGACATCCTTAATTTTCATGTTTCCTCACCCATGCCTCTCCCACCTGTATAATTCTAAATTGTGAATTACTGTATTCCCTATTGAAAAAAAATAGTTAGACTGTTTTTATCTTATCAATCTCTGCCTTTTAACTGACAAATTTATTATTCCAACTTGTCCTCTGCAATTTCTATGCTTCTTTCTAAATCTTTTCATTTAGATAAATAAAATTGTCCATACTTCCTTTAATCAAGGTAAGAACTTGGCCAGGCGCAGTGACTCATGCCTCTAATCCTAGCACTCTGGGAGGCCGAGGCGGGCAGATTGCTTGAGGTCAGGAGTTCGAAACCAGCCTGAGCAAGAGCGAGACCCTGTCTCTACTATAAATAGAAAGAAATTAATTGGCCAACTAATATATATAGAAAAAATTAGCCAGGCATGATGGTGCATGCCTGTAGTCCCAGCTACTCGGGAGGCTGAGGCAGGAGGATTACTTGAGCCCAGGAGTTTGAGGTTGCTGTGAGCTAGGCTGACACAACGGCACTCACTCTAGCCTGGGCAACAAAGCAAGACTCTGTCTCCAAAAAAAAAGACGACAACAAAAACTTTACCATGCCCTCAAGTCCTTTGATCTCCCCTCTACCCAATCCCCAACATGTTTTACAGATGTACTTCTTCTATTTATTTTTTATTCTTAGCTAATATTTTAAGATGACAATCTTAAATCTTAAAATTTTAAATCTTAAAAACTTGGGTATTTGATCACCCTTTAATTTACATATCTTACATGTACATATCACCTATCTCATACATCTGCTATAATAGATTTGTTCCCCACTCATGTGAGTTCTTTCTCCAAAAATGTTTCCCGTGTGGATCTTTGTATGGTTTATCTTCTAAAGCCTTCTATGTTTGAGAGTATTTTAATCATGCCCTCACACTTGAATGACAGTTAGCTGGGCATAAACCTCAAGGTTCAAAGTTACTTTCCAATACTATCTCCAATACTCAAAAAATATTACTCCACTGTCTTCTTGCAGTTAACACTGCAAGATGTTAAAAAGTATAATGCTTTTACTGAAAGCATTATGCTGCTTTCAGTATAATGCTGAAAAGTATAATGTCAATTTGAATTTTGTTCCTTTGTAATGTTATCTGTTAACTTTTAGATTTTATCTCTCTGATAGTCTTAAATTTCACTACACTGTGTACAGATATGGTTTTTTTCTTAACTCTATATGATATTGATTATCAGCCTTTTCAATCTGAGATCTTTCATCTTTAATTCTGGGAAATCAACCTCTTATTTCCTCCTTTATTTTTGTAGTTTTAAGTTTCCTACCTAAGTGCTGGCACTTTTAAAGCATACGATAATATATATAATACAATAACCCTGATGATTATGACTTCCTTATCCATTTAATATATATAACAGAAAAGGTTTAGAGAGCTTTAGTAATATAATTACTAAATCATATGATTTTAATTACACAGTTAAAAAAAAAAGACAAGGCTAGAATTTGAATTTTCCTCTATCTCCCAAGTTCAAGTTCTCTGATTACATACCACATCTAGATTTCACCTGGAATGTCACCTTTCAGATTAATGAGTCAGATACTTCACTTCTTATCACAACCTCCTCTTCTTCTGGCTTATTCTCAAAATTACTCTCAACACTTAAGTTCTCCAACCACATGGGAACTTCTAGTACACTGACCCAACTTCACAACCATCAGCCCCATTTCTCTTTTTAATGACATAAAATTTACCATTTTAACCATTTTTAATTATACAATTCAATGTCATTAAAAATATTCACCATGTGGTACCAACCATCACCACTCTCCATTTTCAGAACTTGTCACCATTCCCAATCAGAAACTCTAACCCTTTAAACAATCATTACCCTCCCCTATATCTCCTAGTAACTTCTCTCCTATAATACTTTGTCTTTATGAATGTGTCTACTCTATTTATCTCACATAAGTAGAATCATACAATATTTGCCCTCTTGTTTCCGGCTTACTTCACTTACAGTATTTTCAAGTTTCATCCATGTTGCAACATGTATCAAAATTTCAATCCCAGTCAGGTGGGGTGTCTCGGGCCTGTAATCCTAGCACCCTGGGAGGCTGAGGTAGGAGGATCACTTGAGGTCAGGAGTTTGAGAACAGCCTGAGCAAGAGCGAGACCCAGTCTCTACAAAAAACAGAAAAATTAGCTAGTCGTGGTAGCACGTAGCCCACAGCTACTTTGCAGGCTGAAGCAGGAGGATCCCTTTGAGTCCAGGAGTTTGTTTGAGGCTGCAGTGAGTCCAGGTGACAAAGAGAGACTCTGTCTCAAATTTTAAAAAATAAAATAAAAATCACTCTTTTTTAAAACTGAATATTCCGTTGTATGTAAATTCCATTTTGTTTATCCTTTCATTTGCTGATGAACATTTGAGTTGTTTCCACCTTTTGGGTTTGGAATAATGTTGCTATGAACATCAGTGCATACATACCTGTTTAAGTCCCTGCTTTCAACTCTTTTGGGTATATAATAGGAGTGAAATTGCTAGGTCATATGCTAACTCTATGTTTAACTTTTGGAGGAACTGCCAAACTGTTTCCCACAGCAGCTGCAATATTTTATATCATCCCCAACAGTGCCAAAGAGTTCCAATTTCTCCATATCCTTGCCAACATTTGTTATTTCCTTTTTTAACAGCTACCTAACTGCTATGAATGAATATCTCATTGTGGCTCTAACCTGAATTTCCCTAAAGATTAGTGATGTTGAAAATCTTTTCATGTGCTTACTGGCCATTTGCTTATCTTCTCTGGAGAAATGTCTATTAAAGTTCTATGCTCATTTTTGAACTGGCTTGTTTTTTTTGTTAGAGTTGTAGTTCTTTATATATTCCGGATATTAATCCCTTACCACTTATTCTCCTATGCAAACATTTTCTCCCATTTTGTGGGTTGTATTTTTACTCTCAACAGAGTTCTTTAATGCACAAGTTTTTAATTTTAATAAAATCTAACTTATTGTGTTGCCTGTGTTTTTGCAGTCATATTAAAAAATCACTGCCAAATCTAATGTCATGAAAATTTTCCCCATGTTTTTCTTTTCTTTTTTTTTTGAGACAGAGTCTCACTCTGTTGGCCTGGCTAGAGTACCACAGCATCAGCCTAGCTCACAGCAACCTCAAATTCCTGGGCTCAAGGGATCCTACTGCCTCAGCCTCTCAAGTAGCTGGGACTACAGGCATGCGCCAACATGCTCCGGCTAATTTTTTCTATATATTTTTAGTTGGCCAATTAATTTCTTTCTATTTTTAGTAGAGGATGGGCTCTCGCTCTTGCTCAAGCTGGTTTCCAACTCCTGACCTTGATCGATCCTCCTGCCTCAGCCTCCCAGAGTACCAGGATTACAAGCGTGAACCACTGCGCCTGGCCTCCCTATGTTTTCTTCTAGTTTTAGTTTTAGCTCTCACACTAAGGTCTTTGATCCACTTTTAATTTTTGTATATGGTATAAGGTTAGGTCCAACATCATTCTTTTGCATGTGGATCTCTATTTCCCAACACCATTTGTTAAAAAGACTGTCTCTTCCCCATTGAGTGGTCTTAGCACCCTTGTTAAAAATTATTTGACCATATATGTGAGAGTCTATTTCTAGGCTGTCTATTCCATTGGTCTGTATCTGTCTTTATGTCAGTATCATACTGTTTTTGATTTCTGTAATTTTGTAGCTAGTTTTGAAATCAGGATATGAGTCCTCCAATTTTCTTCTTTTTCAAGATTGCTTTAGCTATTTGGGGATCCCTTAAGATTTCATATGAGTTTTTGGTTTTGTTTGAGGCAGGGTCTCACTATGTAGCCCAGGCTAATCTCAAACTCTTGAGGTCAAGTGATCCTCCTGCATCAGCCTCCTGAATAGCTGGGACTACACACATGCACCACTGCACCCAGATTTCCACATGAATTTTAGAAAGGGTTTTTCTGGCCGGGCGCAGTGGCTCACGCCTATAATCCTAGCTCTCTTTTTTCTGCTGAATTGCTCTGGCTAGAAGTTCTAATACTATGTTGAACAGAAGTGTTACCCTTGTCTTGTT